TTCCCCTGATGATGGATTCATCATGTGGTTCTCATGTAGCAGCAAAACACACAGCGTATGCATTCCATGTGCAGCCTAAATCCCATTGCAGTGAGCCACGTTACAGGCAGTTTCTGCCTGTACCAAAACAGAAGCTGCTTTCTCTGGGCCTCGGCATGTAGCAGGGTCCCTTCACTTTTAATGAAAATGTCTTATTGTGTGTCTTCATTAACTACAAAGAGATCAGATCAGTGGAACTGAAGATGGCTTTTATGTTCTACAATCAAGTCAGATTTATTCATCATAGCCCTGTGTGTCTTTCTACCTCAAAACACCAGGTTACCACTAAAATCCAAATAACCTCATCAAAGTGCCGTAGCACGACATCCAGCTGTGCCTTCATCACTGTGCTTCTTTCCTTGTATTCAGAACTTCCACTTTCTATTTCGCTTTTTGCTTCACAGTTTGAGACTGGGAAAAGGCATATTATTCCAAAAAACAGATGGCTGAGTCTTAGAGAGCTGGTGAATTTCTGCAGAGATGATCAGTATAGCACTTAGCACATTGTTGGTGCTCAAGAAATGTACTGAAAGGTAAAACAGATTTTAAATAGACTGACTTTGCTGTTACTGAGGTGTCCTAAGGGAGCTTTTAAATCCCCAGTGTTACCAAAATGCCCAGCCATCCTTGGAAAAACTAAAGCAGTCTGGAATAAACTTTTCTTCTTTCTGCCCAAAGATGACCCTTAAACTCCTCTTCACTCCCCAAAAGTTAAATGCCTGGAACATAGACAAGATGACAGCCTTCTAGTGTCAGGCTAGTCTTTTTCACCTTAGTATAGCACAGAAACGTGTAGTGCCTCCCTCTAAATCCTAAGAAGTTCTTCGTATGCTCATTTTACGGGGTAACGGAAGCACAGAGGTTGCCTGCCTACTGCTTAGTTCTGGTAATGGAATGTCTTGTTCCTCCGCGTGCTGCCTGTGGACTCTCAGAGCAGTTCTGCTTCTTGTCAGATTTATTTGGCACACGTAGCACAGACCACACAAGTGGCCTCTGTCAGCTCTGATAAAAAGGGGGAGCTCAACACCCTTTTATGAACATTCTCCTTTAAACCTGTCAGGCTCTAAAATTAGGCAGGAGTTGCTATCACCAGACATTCTTCTCTCTGAAGGGCCTGCCCTTTGCAGCCCACCTTCAGCTTTCTTAGATGAGCACATCCCATGACTAGCGATAATGGGAGTCCTGGCATTTGCCTCAGATAGCACAGTATCTGAATTGGATCAAATGTGTCACTGAAGATTGTTTTCAGGAGCCTAACCGATTGCACATTCGCATGGCTTAACAATTGATTTTATTACTAAATGTATGCATCTTTAGGAGAATTGTCATTTCAAGGAGACAGTTGATCTTTCCACAACTAAGGTAATTCACTTGAAGGAACAATAATGTTCCCTTGATTTGTTGTATTTACTTCTCTTTTTTCTTTAAAGGAAGATTTTTTTTTTTAACGAGATTTACATGTTAAGGCAGTTAGAGGTGTATTTAGTGACTGCCATCCTGTGCTAAAACACGCTTCCAGAGTTAAACTGCTTTATCCTTAATGATGCCTCTAGAAAGCTGTGCTTGACAACAGGGATGGGAATTCTGAAATTTTAGACTATGTACTTTATATAAATGTACACCATTTCTTCAGTAGTATTTTTTTAATGTAAAGCATTCAGCTCAAGGATCTGTGAGTTCTTATCTGTTAAACAATTATTCTTAGAATATAGTTTTAAATGTGCAAAATCACAACTGCTTTAAATTTGATTACTTAAAAGGTTGAGATAGCTTTATGATTTATTCAAGCATTTTTTCATTTGTGAAATGAATTGTGTCTGCTAAGCCTTTGAGAAAATACTACTGAAATGGAATTTATTTAGTAGAATGGCCATGGCAAGATATAGTGGGATTTTTATTGTTTTAATAATCTGTCTTCAAGATGGTAACACTAATGACTCTGTGGAGAAGGATCATCTTTCTAAAATAATAACAGTAGCCACTCTTGTATCTGGAATATCACTTTTGAAATGCTTGAATGAGCCTCCTTTTTAAGAAAATAATGAAGTTAGCTGGGCATGGTTGTGCACACTTGTAGTCTCAGCTACTCGGGAGACTGAGGCAGGAAAGTTGCTTGAACCCAGGAGGCAGAGGTTGCAGTGAGCCAAAATTGTGCCTCTGCACTCCAGCCTGACAACAGAGTGAGACTCCATCTCAAAAAGAAAAAAAAAAAGAGAGAGAGAAGAATGAAAACAGGCTAGGTGTGGTGGCTCACTCCTACAATCCCAGCACTTTGGGAGGCTGAGATGGGCAGATCACTGAAGGTCAACAGATGGAGACCATCCTGGCCAACATGGTGAAACCCCCTCTCTACTAAAATATAAAAATTAGCTGGGCATGGTGGTGTGCATCTGTAATCTCAGCTACTGTGGAGGCTGAGGTAGGAGAATCTCTGGAACCTAGGAGGCAGAGGATGCAGTAAGCTGAGATTGTGCCCCTTCACTTCAGCCTGGGCAATAGAGCAAGACTCAGTGTCAAAAAAAAAAAAAAAGAAAAGAAAAGAAAAGCAAATAGGGGATAGCATTTCTGGCAGAATGATGTTTGTCCCCTGGGTTCCCTAGAGCTGGGTGGTCATTATCTTGGGGAAGAAAGAAATGAATATGTTAAATCTATGCCAAAGGCGGTAACATTTTCAACATTTTGCATAATTTAACACAATAAAGATACTTACAAGGAAGTAATAACTTGAAGTTAATTACTTTGTGATATAGTAGGAAAAAAACACTGAACCAGGGACTTGGGAGACCTTTGTAGTAATTTGCCATAAGCTGGCAGTGTTGCCATGGCAGGTGTCTTTTTTGTTGTTGTTGTTGTCGAGACAGAGTCTGGCTCTGTCACCCAGGCTTGAGTGCAGTGATGCAGTCTTGGCTCACTGCAACCTTTGCCTCCTGGGTTCAAGAGATTCTCATGCCTCAGCCTTCTGAAAAACTGGGACTATGGGTGCCTGCCACCATGCCCAGCTAATTTTTATATTTTCAGTAGAGACGGGGTTTTGCCATAATGGCCAGACTGGTCTTATGTCCTCAAGGGATCTGCCTGCCGTGACCTCCCAAAGTGCTGGGATTACAGGCATGAGCCACCACACCCGGCCCTTGGCAGGTATCTTTATCTTCTTGAATCTTACTTTGTCATTTGTAAAATAAGAGAGCACTGCTAGCTGGATGAGGTCCTGGAGTGACAACCTCTTACATGTGAAACATTTTAGAGTCCCAGGATTCACTATTATTATCTTATATCCTCAGGGCTGAGAAAGAACAGACACCAGCTTTTGTTTTCCAGGTGGTGCAGTCTTGTGACTGCTCAAAAAATACCCGTCTCAACCTTCTATCAAGAATCAGTGTGGGCTTCATGAAGGGTGTGGTTCCTTACAGCCTTGTGGTGCTTACCGTTACTGGTTTGGGATGTGGAATAGTATTGTTATGCTGCTGTGCCTCTCCACAATGAAGAGTTTAAGTTTTTTGTTTTTGTTTTTGTTTGTTTTTGAAGGAGAATTGTCATTAAGTACAGAAACGCAACAGTATACATTAAACCCAGTTGAGTGGCAAGTCCTTTGACCTCGGCCTTTTGCCACTTGGCAATGCAAGCCACAGATTTATGACCCCAGACATTGCCTCCCCAGTGATAGTGATCTCAGCATATTCATCATAGTAACTGGTCCTGGTAGCTTCCACCAGCTTAGGCGAAGCTCCTTTGTCTTCCCAGTTAACCTGTGTGCAGGCAACACCGGTGCAGGTCCCCGTGTGGACTGGACGTCCCAGCCTGGCCATTCCTTTGATGATGTAGTAGGGAACGCCCCTCTCGTGATACAGGGCAGATGGGAAGACAGCCAGCCTGAAAGGATCCACGTTGTGCGCAGTCATCACCAGCTGAGCCGCCTTGTTCTCCCCCAAGGTAGCAACAGTGTTAACCCCTGCTCCAAGGACAGGTGGTCTCCAGTGGGGGCCTCCCCTTTGACGGCAGCTTTCTTCTCAGCCCGGAACAGCAGCCATCGCTTCTTCTTTTGCTCTGCCTCTGGTCTGTACTTGTGGGCCAGCCTAGGCAGCTGAGTGTTACTTTGCTGCCCAAGGCCTGGACCAACTGGTTCCTCAACGAAGGTACTTTCAGCCATGTTTAGAGGACAGCTCTTTGTCACTGCAACTGGATGCAGCAGGGCCGCTTGACAAAGCTGGTGAGCATCTCTTGGGGCCAGAGGTCCTGCAAGTGCCAGCATTCTTGGGCCTTTCTTGGGGAATTCATCACCTTGGCCACCTGCTTCTTCACAACAACAGGGGCTAGGGCCACCTTCTCCAGCTGCCCAAGATGCCAAAACAGTCTTAACATTTGAAGGAGAAGAAAATGAAATTAAGGAAAGAAGCATAGTGTGTAACTTTGGTCAGCCTTTGGCTGGCTCACTAATGCTTAGTACTAACCGTTGTTTTCAATCACTGTCATAATGTTTGGTTTTATTTACTGTGTCTCTCATGAAGGCTTCAGATTGATATGCTCTAAGATAGTCTCACTCATAAGATCTTACGGGTCCTTCCAAAGACCATCTGTTTGTTCATCATGGATTCTTTGGTGGTGCTTGTAGTCTGTTAAGGTGAAAGGGGGTGCCAGGTCCAGGCTCCTGGTTGAACTGGATCTATCATATAACCCATTTACCCTGCTGTTGACAAGAAGAAGGAAGACAGGGCCCTGTCTGCCTCACATGATGAGCCATTAGCCCTGGATGACAGATATGTTTTCTATTGCTCAAGTGGGCGTCTGTTAGATCCCATGTGAGCACTTTGTTTTCCTGTCCATTGAGGGTCCCATAAAAGCTCTGGCATCCCACTACAAATAGGTGTGCACAGTGGACACTCAGAAAGAATGGAGGTAGCCTATCAGCTCTCTCATTGGTTACAGTATGGGAAAAAGGAAAGGAAGTAATTTTGTTTTTTAACTTAAACCTGAGTACTGTGGTTGCAATAAACTACCAGGTAAAGAAACGACACATACAGTTAAGCTGTGACAACTGTCTACTTATCAGGCACTCATGGCTCTTATATATATGTATAAATGACATTTTATATGTTACTAATAATAGTTTAAGATTCTAATATTCCTACCGCAACTCCACTGTAGCCGATGAGAGGAGTCAGGGAGACTAATTGGTCATGGTGCTAGTGAAGTACAGAGCTCTGAGTGCGTTTGCCTGTATAAATGGCAGAGAAGACGCTTGTGAAACCAAATGACCAAATGGGTGCCTGGGTGTGAGGGACCTTGGCACAAGATGATCCTGAGGGTTGACAGTAGGGTGGCTGAGAAGAGTGTTGCTGCTAGCCCACGTAAGAGGCCCGTGGCGGAGCCAGGTGCACAGGTGTGTCTGGGCATGTTGATTTGGAGATGTGGACAGGTCATCCACCACGTGAGATCATGAACCCCCATACCCTAGGCAACTTGATGGGCTTCTTAACCAGCCCCTCACGGGTGACTTCCAGGAAACACATGGCTGGCTATGGGCCTGCAGATGTGGATGTGGAGGTCCTTTACATAGAGCAGATTGTTGGAGCTCTCTGAGATGGCAAAGAGGGAATCTGAAAAGAGAAAAGAGACAGCCAAGTATAGAAAATTGCAAAACAGGAGGAAGAGGAGCCAATAATGGATCAATTAGGAATCTTGACAGAGATTTAGAGAAATGAAAAAGAGCCAGAGAAATACTCCACCCAGGAAGACATAGAAGCAGCTGCCATATAGAGATTGAAAGGGATGAGGCCTGGACGGGAACCAATTCAAACATGTCATTTCTGAACAGTGAGGGAAAGAGAAAGAACAGAGTCTCTAATAAATGGTGTATAACAGCTGGCCATTTGGGGGAAAGTAGTTAGATCCTAGGCCATGTATAAAAATAAAATATAAATGTAAAAAACCAAGATGAACATATAGACAAATATTTTTATAACTTGGGGTAGAGAATGGTTTATAAGATAGGAAGCTGAAAGGGAAAAATAGATATTTGGGTACATAAATATTAACACCTTCTTGCTCCTCAAGACACCACAAAGAAAGTTAAAAAAAATAAAAATGTGGTATACTGGGACAAAATATAAACAAAGCATGATAGAAAAAAGGTGACTACCCTTTAATGTAAGATAAATTTCTGTAATCAGAAAGGAGAATTAACAGAATGAAAGAACAGGCATACTTTGTTCTCCAAGGACAAAATATAAAATGGCTCTGAAAATCTTTGCTAATTAAAAAAATACAATAAGGAAATGACAGTGTTTGCCTATTAGACTAGTAAAAATTAAAATCTATTTTAACATCCATTGCTGATGAGACATGGACACTTAGGCAAACATTGTCATTGGGCGCTTAAGTTATTAAGTCTTTTTTGGACGATATTTCGTTCGAATTTATTGAATTTTTTGGTGCACATATACTTCAATCTAGTAGTCCATGTCCAAGAATGTATCCTACAGATTTATCTAAAAGGGATTTATTCCATCATTACCAATCACAGAACATAAAGAATAGCCTAAATATCAGTGAGAAAATGGTTAAATGTGTGTGCATCCATAGAATGAAATATTAGGCAGCCATTTTTTAAAATGAGATAAATCTGAGTGTTTTACCCTGAAAAGAATTCCATGATAAATTGCTAAGTGAAGAGGAGGGAGAGTGAATCATAGCCCAATATCAGCCCAGTTCCATTTATCACTATGTAATAATAACCTATGTATATTTGAACATGTAAATAGGTATGTCTCTGTGTGCTCATGAAAATATTGGAAAGGATATACACCACTAGGGTAGAGGCAGGGATGGAGGGGCTACGAGAAAGACAAATGTTCATTGATTACCTTTGAAAGAGCATGATGGGGATAGGAATCAATGGGGTGGGAAAGTGGTAAGCTGTGAGTATGGGGTGCTCAGGATTAATCTATTAGAAAGATGGAAATGTAGCTTAAGAGGCAGACAGGGTGATACATAAGGTTTTGTTGGCTAGGATAAGAGAAATTTGAGTCTATTTGTATGCCAAAGAAAGGGAAAAAATACAAACAAAACAAAAGCTGTCACAGTAGTAGTCGAGGCAGTAAAGGATGGAATCAAGACAGAGCAATCCTCCTTTCTCTGGGGTTGCAGAGGCTGAATGAAGTTAGCAGAAGCTTTACCAAGAACTCCAAGCAGATGGACCCTATGAGGGATAGGCAAGGCCAGAGACAGAGTAGGGATGCAAATGGTGGTGTCAGAAATGAAGGAGAATGGAAAACACTGGAAACAGCTACTCTTGAATTAATTTAGGCGGGGAAAGATGGAAGACATTTAGGAAGGAAAAGACCTAAGACGTAAGTTCAGGGCCCAGCTGAGTTCAAGTATGCATTTGTAATGAAGCAAGTTGGCATTTTCTGAGTGTCCAGCAGCCCAGGGGAGGAGAAGGAATCCAATGGGTCAGAGTTGGAATTAAAGGAGTTCCAAACTTAGTGACATTTAAAGAGCTGCCCAGGGCTCCCAAGCTGGGCAAGGAAAGCCCAAGGGAAGCTGACAGCCAGAGAGAATATAAAGAACTGAATGTCTTCATAAGAGTTGTTTTAAAAAATAAAAGCAGATACCTCAGGGGTAAGGAAATGACAGAAGTGGCAACAGGGCAAGTTGGAACCACAGTGGGGGTTGTCCTAGTTCCTTGCAGAAGTTCATAACCAAGGTAATGGGTGAGTGTTGTGCTTTTGGTTTGTCTCAGTAGACTCTTGAATCCCATGAGGGCAAGGATCACACAGCCCGCCTTCTTTACATCTCCAGGGCAGAGTACGGTCCCTGGCACATAATAGACACACAGCAAACACTGGAGGGAACCAAGGGCTAGGGTAGGGTGGAAACTAACGTCTTGCTGTTGAGGCATTCAGGTACCTGTAATGTGAGGATGCTGGACAGGCTTTACTGTTAAAGTCACTGAGGGAAATCAGAGGAGACCTGAGGAAAGAAGTATAGAGACTTGCATTAAAATGATCAAAAATTATGAGAAAATATCTGGTTAAGTTGATATTAATTGGTAGGGAAAGAGGAAGTGACAAAGCAGATGGTCTGACCAGTGTTTTGAGCCCAGATCCACCTGCCATGGAATATATAGGCTATGTGTTAAATCTGCACATTTTGGGGCTCTGCCCTAGACCTGTGGAATCCAAAACTCTGGGGATAAAGCCTGGGAAACTGTATTTTTAACAGTTTCTTCACAGATACATAGGCCCAGTCAATAAGGCTCAAAAACCACTGGGGTAGACTCTGATGTGGAGCTTCTTGGCCAGGTGTGGGAAGCAAATGGAAGCAAGGAGTTTATTAGCTTCTTCTCCTGACCCAGCAAATTCAGGGCAATGAGAAAGGAGACACTCCCAAAGCCTCTTAAAGTTTTGAAAGAAGGGGCTTCTTTGTACCCATTAAAATACAAAGCTGGGGGGCGGGCAGGGAGTGGCTTCAGGGGGAAACCAGTTTTGGTTAAATCAAAGAAGTAGAAAGTACATGATGGAAAATGCCTAGGGTCTTTTGAAGGGCTGTTTCTAAAATGTCTGTATGGATTCCTTCCATAGTTATCAAAAGACTCAGAAATTATTTGCCCTTTTCTTGAAGAGGCAGGTTTAGGTTTACTATCAATTACCATTCCATAAATGGAAATGTCAGAAAATACTACTGTGTACATGCATGTGTCCACAGAGGAATTTGATAGTTATTCATGTGTATATTACATGTACAGGCATACCTTGTATAACTGAACTTCACAAATAATTGCCTTTTTTTTTTTTTTTTTTTTTTTTTTACAAATTGAAGATTTGTGGCAATCTTGAATCAAGCAAGTCTGTCAGTGCCATTTTTCCAACAATACATGCTTATTTGTGTCTCTGTGTCACATTTTGGTAACTCTCAAAATACTTCAAACCATTATTACTATATTTGTTATGGAGATCCCTCATCAGTGATCTTTGATGTGACTATTGTAATTGTTTTGTGGTGCCATGAACCACACCCATATAAGACTGTGAACTTAATTGATAAATGTTATATGTGTCCTGATCACTCTGCTGACCAATTCATGTCTCAGTCCCTCTCCTTGGGCCTCAATTAGGGCAGTGAACAACCCTCTAGTGGCTTCTAAACGTTCAGGTGAAAGGAGGACTCTCACATCTTACTTGAAGTCAAAGCCAGAAAGGGCTAAGCTCAGTGAAGAAGGAATGTGCAAGAGGCTTGGCTAGCTTTTGGTCTGTCTCAGGACGAGTTAGTCAAGTTGTGAATGAAAAGGAAAAGAACTTGAAAAAATTGAAAATGCTACTTCAGTGAAGACATGAATGATAAGAAAGCAAAACTGCCTTATATCTGATACGGTGATAGTTTGAGTGGTCTGGTTAGAAGGTCACACCAGCTACAACATTCGCCAAAGCCAAATCCATAGAAAGCCCTAACTCTTTTCAATTCTGTGAAGACCAAGAGAGGTGTGGAAGCTGCAGAAGAAAAGTGTGAAGCTAACAGAGGATGGCTCAGAAGGTTTCAGGAAAGAAGCCGTCTGCATAAAATAGAAGTGCAAGGTGCAGCAAGAAGTGCTGATGTAGAAGCTGCAGCAAGTTCTCAAGAAGATCTAGCTAAGGTCACTGTTGAAGGTGGCTACACTAAACAGATTTTCAATGTAGACAGCACAGCCTTCTATTTGAAGAGGATGCCATCTAGGACTTTCATAGTTAGAGAGAAGTCGGTGCCTGGCTTCAAAGCTTCAAAGACAGACTGACTTTCTTCTTAAGGGCTAAGCCAGTGCTCATTTACCATTCTGAAAATCCCAGGGCCCTTAAGAATTGTGGTAAATCTACTCTGTGCTCTAGAAATGGAACACAAAGCTGGATGACAGCACATCTATTCACACCATGGTTTACTCAAGATTTTAGGCCCACTGTTGAGACCTACTTCTCAGAAAAAAGATTTTCTTTCAAAATATCACTGCTCATTGACAGCACATCTAGTCTCCCGAGAGCTCTGATGGAGCAATACAAGGAGGTGAATGTTGTTTTCATGCCTGCTAACACAATATCCGTTCTGCAGCCTGTGGATCAACCAGTAATTCTGGCTTTCAAGTCTTACTATTTGAGAAATAATACATTTTGTAAGGCTATAGTTACCATACATTCCTCTGATGACAGCCAAGTAAATTGAAAACCTTCTGGAAAGGATTCACCATTCTAGATACCGTGAAGAACATTCATGATTCAGGAGAGGAGGTCAGAATATCCGCATTAACAAGAATTTGAAAGAAGTGATTGTAATGCTTCATGGATGACTCTGAAGGGTTCAAGACCTCAATGGAGGAAGTCACTGCATATGTGGTGGAAATAGCAAGAGAACAAGAATTAGAAGTGGAGCTTGCGTATGTGATTGAACTGCTGAAATCTCGTGATAAAACTTGAATGGATGAGGAGTTGTTTTTTAGGGATGAGCAAATAAAGTGGTTTCTTGAGATGGAATCTGCTCCTGATGAAGAGGCGGTGAACATCGTTAAAATGACAATAGAGGTTTTAGTATGTTCCATAAACTTAATTGATAAAACACTGGCAGGGTTTGAAGGGATTGACTCCAGTTTTGAAAGAAGCTCTGCTGTGGGTAAAATGCTGTCAGTGAATTAGTCAGGGTTCTCTTAGAGGGATGGAACTAATAGGAGAGAGAGATATATATGGAAATTTATTAAACATTAACTTACATGATCACAAGGTCACAGTAGGCTGTCTGCAAGCTGGGGAGCAAGGAGAGCCAATCCAAGTCCCAAAACTAAAGAATTTGGAGTCTGATGTTCGAGGGCAGGAAGCATCCAGCACAACAGAAAGATGTAGGCTGGGAGGCTAGGCCTGTCTCTCCTTTTCCCATTTTTCTGCCTACTTTATATACCTGGAAGCTAATTAGATTGTGCCCACCAGGTTAAGGGTGGATTTTGCCTTCCCAGCCCGCTGACTCAAATGCTAATCTCTTTTGGCTGCACCCACACAGACACACCCAGGATTAATACTTTGTATCCCTCAGTCCAATCAAGTTGACACTCAGTATTAACCATCATAGACAGCATTCCATTGCTACAGAGAAATGCTTCACTGCTATTTCTTCAATCACAGAGGCAGTAAGAAAAAAAAGAAAAAAAGAGAAATCCTTCATGAAAGGAAAAGTCCATCAGTGTGGCATACTTCACTGTTGTCCTCATTTAAGAAAATGCCACAGCCACTCCAGCCTTCAGCAGCCATCACCTTGATCGATCAGTAGCTATTCACACTAAGGCAAGGCCCTCCACAAGCAAAAAGATTATGAATTGCAGAAGTCTTAGATAACCATTAGCGTTTTCTAGCCGTAAAGCCTTTTTTAAGGCATACACACTTTTTAGACAATGCTATTGCACACTTAATAGACTACCATATAGTGTAATCATAACTTTTATATGCATTAGGAATCCAAAAAATTTGTATGACTTGCTTTATTGTGGTTGTCTGGAACCAAAAATTCAGTGTATTTCCGAGGTATGCCTGTATGCTTATTTCAAGACTAAAATAGCCTTCCTGTAAGGAGTTTTCTTCCCCACAGTAAAGTCATCTTTGCAGTGTCCTTTCATTTTGGACCAAATTCAACATATTGTTTTTAACATTAGAACCACATCAACTTAAAGCTTAGATATATTTCTGCAACCACGGGGATAATGGAAACTTCATGCTTTCAGTGGTATTCTCAAAGGATGATTTTGCCCTGGAGTCAGATAAGAGAGCTAATTGCAGGCTGGCTTGCAGGCACTGGAAATCTTACAGATGGTAGCAAGAAAAGTGATATGGGAGGAGGAAGTTGAAGTGTCATGAAGCATCAAGAGATAGAGCACTGTGGGAACAGATGGAGGGTCTGAGAGTCTGTTAGCTGGGATGAGGAGTGCAGCAGCCCAGCTGGCTGAGTGGAGATTAGGGTGCATGCGGAGGGGTCAGCCTGGGGAGAATTGAGCTGGACTGGGATTTGAAACTAGGGGAGAAGCTGGGATGGAGGGAAGAAGGTGAGTTTTTAAACAGATGATTTGTGAAGGTAGCATCACGTGAGACGGTTTGCCCATTTGCTCATTGATGCTGTTGCCTCTGTGGGTATAATGCTCTGAATTCTAAGTCTTGAGTTTTAGCTCACTAATCCCAGCCAGTCCCTTGGAATTTGTTCCTCTTACTCCGTGTTTACTTGTACCTACCCAGCTGCTAACTGGCACTAAATAACTTTAAATAAAACTGTATCCCCTCTGATAATTTTGAACTCTGAAGAGTATTCTCCATGATTCCTCAGATGCCAAACTTAAGTGTATCTCAGTATTTCTCTGCAGAGTCCAAAAAAAATGCTTTTTTATGTTACTGTTGCTTGGCAGGTTTCAAAAAACTACCAGACTTGCAGGTGTTTATCATGGTCCCATAACTCCTATCTCTAAATCTGCATACCTGCCCACTCTCCCTCCGCTCCCCCCCATGGTTATTTCCATGGACTTTGTGGCAGCTTTCTGCAGCAGAACTGCTGCCTTAAAAAGCTATGGATAAAATATGGCTCCAGGTCACATGAAGTGTAAAGGCTTATACCTATGACTAGAACACAAGGTCAACAAGATGATTCCAAACTGGGGTACTTTTTAGGAGTTGTTTGGGGTAAAAACATGTTTACCCAAAGAGAAAGCTATTCACAGCTTTCCTTTCAGGAGAAAAAAGCATTATCAGCGTTTTGTGGCTTATAATTTATTCTATGACTTGTCAGTTGACTAGCTTTTAATGTTCCTCTCCTTATGCCTCTTTTCAAATCCTTTATCCAAAAGGCTATGAAGATGTTGACTTTGAACTTGCCTGAGGTACCCCAGATTCAGGAAGACTTCAGGAACCTTAGTTATCAATAGTGGAGAGAAGGGTCGTTGCTTACTGGGAATAATAGGATTTCCATGTTTTCCCTCATCA